GAAAGATTTGGTGCACCAATTGGTAAAAAAAATTAAAATCTAGAATATTTTTTTATATGAATTTAAAAATAAAATAAAAAAATTTTTTTTTGTTTCAGTTGTTCGTGTTCCTCGTCAATCAAATTATCGTACATTACAATTATCAATAATAAAAGCTCAACGTTCATTAATACGTGATGAAGTTATGGAATATGCTCAAGATTATGTTGTTTTTCAATTAACACTTATTGATCAATATCAATCAACATTATTTGGTACATTAAAACAAGAATATTCTATTTCTCATGATGTACAATGGCCACTTTATCTTGAAAAAATTCTTGAGATTCTTGATGCTTATGATGGACCTGGTATAGGACCATCACATATTCAAGTCTATGCTAATTGGCATGAAAAATTTGTTGGAGAATTTTTATCTAAATGGCCTTATGGTGATGATAAACCAGATATTCATCAATCAGTTGCACAAGCACGTGCAACATTACATCAACCATCATCATCATTAATTTCATTAGCAGATTGTTTTTCTTTATTTACACAATCGGAAAGTTTAAATTATGTATGAAATAATAAGAAATAAAAATTTTTTTTTGGATTTTTTTTCTGAAATATAATTATTTATTTTTAGGATGATGCATGGATGTGTACACATTGTCGTCGTAAAGAAAATGGTACAGTAAAACATTTAAAAATTTGGACAACACCATATGTTTTAATAATACATTTAAAACGTTTTTGTCAAACAAAAATTTCAAATTCAAAATTAACATATCCAGTACAATTTCCACTTGATAATCTTAATATAAAACGATTTTTATCAACAACAAGAAATTTAACTGATGATGGAGAAAATGAAAGTTTAATAGATGATGAACAAGATGAATCTATTGAAAATCAAGATGAAAGACAATATGGATTATATGATCTTTTTGCAGTTTGTAATCATCGTGGTAGTATGTCAAATGGACATTATACTGGTGAGATTTTCATATGAAATCATGGCAGAAGTATAGAACAGCTGATTAGCGTCTTCACTAAGTTATCTTACTAAAGAAATCCTATTTTACGAAAATAAGTAGTTTTAGATAAACCATGATAAGACTGTGTCGAATGGATAATCAAAAGTCTCTGCTAAAATATGATTGACTACGAAAAGTTTTTTCTTACTAAATCAAATTTTGGTGAGGTTTTCTTAATTATTCTAAGACCAAAATATACTGTTGTCCTAGTCGATCATGAAATTATGAAGACCACTCTTTCATATGGTCAGAACAATAAAATGTTTTTTTTTCTTACAATAATTAAAAAAAAAAGCCTTGTTGAAGAAATAAGATGAGAACACAAATTATGCCAATGTGAGAGAAAACAAAATTGAGTAACTTCTACTTTTCTTAATACTCTGATAGAGCATTTTTTTTTTTTGTATATAGAAAAATTCAGTAAAACAAAAAAAGTTTCATTTCTAAAACCAAATTTATGATTTTACCTACTATTTCTCTATATTTTAGCTTATTGTAAAAATCCAATAACAAACAAATGGTTTTGTTATGATGATCATCTTGTTTCGGAATTAGATCCATCACGTGTATGTACACCAGATGCATATATTTTATTTTATAAACGTCGTAATACACTACCATCGCCAAGTTCACAATCTATTTCAAAATCTCTATCATCCCAACAAGAACAAATTGATTCGATTGTTAATGAATTCGATCAACATTTAAATTTTAATCCTTTATCTCCAATAGAAAATAAAAAAATTCATTGTACTCTTCAACCACCATTACCATTACCACGAAGATTATTAACACCATTATCATCATCATCAACATCTGAAGATGATTGTTCACGAGTGCCATGTCCAATGCCACGAACACGTCTATCAAAAAATGAAACACAAATTATTTCTCAACCAATACCATCTGTCAGACAACAAATATTCAATACGATTCCATCATCAGAATCATTAAATGATTCTAATAAAGAAATACTAAGTCCATGGAGTCGTTTTAATAATTATCGATATTCTAATGATGAACCCGAAAGTAATGTGGTTTATCATACAACGATATTACGATAAAATTATTGTATGAATAAATATTTATCATATAACAGTAAACATATATATATATATATTTTTGTGTTTGATTCAATCCTAGCCTATTGTTTGTTTGTACAGTTTATATTTCTCCGTTAGATTTTTTTTTCTGAATTAATTGTTAATTTACGCACTTTAAATTGATTGATATGCTTGCGCATTTGATTGATTTTGTTGTTTTTTTTTTGGGTTAGTAGTGTACATAAAAATACGTATACATATATATATATATATATGAACTGTTTCAATTGATGTGCTGTGCGTTTATTTATGCAAAAAATATTGGTATAACAAAAAAATATGTCAAGTGAAAAAATAAAAGACAAAGATTTTGTTTTAAAAAAAAATTTAGTTTAACACAAAGATATGTGCTGTGCCTAAAAAAATGAGACAAGATAGATATGGCAAAGAATGATAGAAGTCGTCCGATAGTGGCAAAAGTCTTCTTGATCGCATCTCATAGTAACTGAGATATCTTAATTTAATTTGCACAAATATAACTTTAAGATAACTCTAAATATTATATTTGTAACAATGAAATTCAATAATTTTTCATCATCAATGATTGGGATTTAGTTTACAAATTTCACAAACAAGTGTCACATGTGTGTAATAAAACAAACGGCATCTCAGAAAGAATGAATCTGTCGACACCGTATTTGGACTGCCATAAATACATAGTATGTTCAATTTGGGATCATGTCCTATTGTTACTTTGATATAAACATCATTGATTTTGCGTCCAAACAATTATTAGGATACATAATAAAAACCCAGAAAGCATTCAAATTTTTACTTATCAATTATAAGTTAAGTTTTTCTACAATATTATATCTTTTCTATTTAACCAATCTACTATCAATTTAATATGATTTTTACTAGTACAAAAAAAGCAGTTTATGTACACAACTAGATTATGTCGTATTATTAGTTTCACATACATCTATTCACTGACTCTTTACATAGATATTGTAAATATTAAAATTAATAGCTGTACTTAATAAACCATCAACACATTAATATGGATATTTATTGTGAATATGAAAAAAATATTCGACAATCAGTCATGTTGAAACAAAGACGATCTCGAATAGTACTACAAACTGTTTTTAATTCGATCCCAACAAATTCGTCTTTCTTTCCTGATCGATCAGCGGCAAAATCCTCAACAGTTTATCACTAATTTTAAATTCAAGTTGACTATAATTTCGTTTCGTTTGACTTCGAAATTCAAGATGGTTTTTCTTGAAAGTGTTGCATTGAAACGAGTGAATATTTTTGATGTCTGTTAAAACTGATAGAATTGATTCATATGTAATAGTCACACAACTCAGATCTATTCCGGTTATGAGATAAATTTTGATTAGTAAAATGTATTCTACAACTATTTTTTTCTCCATTTATTTACATTCTTTCTAATAAATAATTCGAATTTGAGAGTAGCTAGAACCGAAAATTGTCAGTATACCAATGGTGATATAAACAAACATGTGACATGAAGACAAACATTACATTGAGCAATGATTATAAAAACGTACGAACTTTATATTCTACGATAAAACGAATATCTTTTTTGTATGTACTAATCAGAGATGAGCACAGGACAGGACGAGATTTTTATTTTTATTCTGTCCTGCCGCCCGCCAGGACAGAAAAGTTAGCAGGAGAGAACAGAACAGGTAAAAAACCCTTGTCCTGTATTCATCTCTAATATTTTTTTTTTCTTGAAAATAGTATAAAATCCATTAGTTAGAGAATATTAATTGGTGATATTTGCTTTGTACAATGAAATTAAAAGTAAAATTCTCACTATGGGCATTTTACAACCTGTGAAAACGGCAGAAATTGTGACGTCTTGTCCTGATGCCCGCCAATACAGAAAAATTAGCAGGACAAAAACAGAACAGGAGAAGATTTTAATTTTTGTCCTGTCCTGCCGCCCGTCAGGACCGAGATAGCTAGCAGGACAGAAAATCTTGTCCTGTGCTCATCTCGGGTACTAATGTGTAATGCAGCATAATAGAGGGTTGTTCCGCTGACTCGAGGCTAGAAAAATGAGAGAAGAAGCAAAACACATGTTTGGTTGTAACAAGTCGATTGACAATAAAGATATTTATTATTTTATAATTTGCTTTATACGCATTTCACCATACAGTGAAACTCTTTGTTTTTTTGACAATAACTGAACATTGAGATAGAATAAAGCATCTATGAAAAACGAAATTCGTTTTATTAGAGCCTTTAAAAAGTAAAAATATTCTGGATTCTTTTCTAAGGAATTTCTAGATTTGAATCTGTTTCTAGATAATAGATTGTCACGTCATACTTACAACTATTACTAATATGAAACTAATGGTAATGATCTTCTTATTTACTTTTCAAGCATGATTCGTTAGCGATGGCTCCTTATATTTTAGTTACACTTAGTTTTTTCTGTTTTAAACATTTTTCATAAATACTGGGAATAAGATAAAGCTCCGTATCGAAATATGTTAATATTCTAAGCAAATAAAATTTGTTATTTTAATCGTTGAAAAAAAGTTAAACAAGAACTACTGCTATTGCGCCCGCTTGTTTTTCGAAACAAAGTCTAGAAGAAAAGGAACATTAAACATCAAACATTTGTTATTCACTCTCTTTCGATTATAATGATTGGAAAGTAGAAGAAGAAAGAAATCATTATTGACGTCTCGTTAAAAAACGATTGCAAAAGATTTTTTTTCTGTCGCTCTTTTCTGTTCTGACATCAATTACACGAGCATTTAAAAAAATATACGTATATGTATATGTTCTTTTTCTTACACAAGCACTAAGTGTAAAGTAAAGCGGCAAAGAAACACTGTGGCATTGAAAAAATAACTTCCCTCTCACTGAAACTCGTTGTAGACGAACACAGACTATGTCGGACACATATCATATGGTATCTGAACTAAAAAAAGAGTCCATTGGTAAGTTTTGTACTCGTATAAGTTCTTATCTTCGATAAAATGTCTAATTTTATTTAGAGGCTACAAAAACTTTTACACGTCATGAGAAGCGTTTGAAAAGTACACGCAGAGAAAAAATTACCGATGTTTCTCAACTCAAACCTGGCGATCATGTCAGTTTTTATAGAAGTGATTTCTACTATGCACACCATGGTATTGTACGTGAAGCTAGTACCAATCATCTTCGTATTATACATTATTACAATACAGCAGCAAATGTATGGAATTCATTGGTTAAAGGTTCATTATATCTTGCTGAAGTTGTTGAAAGTGAATGGGATTTAAAAATGGATAGTGATAGTGAAGAAATTTATTTACATCACTATGATGATATAGAATGTTTTTCGAATGAAGAAACTCTTGAACGAGCTATTACCAATCTTGGAAAACGTGGCTATTCATTATTTAGTAATAATTGCGAACATTGGGCACGATGGTGTCGAACAGGTGATTCCTATTCAGAACAAATTATCCGATTTCGTAATTTTGTTAAAGAAAAAGCCGCTACACTTTTAATTGTTGATCCTACTGCACTACTTGTTAAAGATATAGCTGTTGTTGGTATGCAAAATCTTGGCAAATTTCTTGGTGCCGTTGGATCGGGTGTAGTTCTTACGAGTGTCGAGAGTATTTCAACATTCATCGATATAAAAAGAAAAGAAAGTCAACGACGACAAGGTGGCTTGAGTGAGATGGCTTTCAAAAAATATGTCGTACTTAGAATCACATCAGCATGCGGCACTGTAGGTCATTATTTTTATTATAGAAAAAAAAGTCACATAAAATATGTATACTTGTTGAGGTCATCGGAGGAACTGCAGGTACTATTGTCGGAACTGTTCTAATTCCTGTACCCATTCTTGGCTCAGTTATCGGTGGTGTAATCGGTAGTGTAAGCGGAAAACTTCTCAGTGGCCTATCGGGTATTGCCGTGTCAAAAGTTGTTGCAGTACACGAGAAACAGAAGCAAACAAAGATAGACGAGATGAAAACTGTGTCACAACTAATGGATCAATTATCGCAGCATGCCAAAATTTTCCACGATTTAGTGACACTAACACTCGATCCTGAAAAAGAAGCACAAGTAGAAACCATTGTTAAAGAAGCAACAGAACCTGACTCACCACAATCGTCACCATCACTCTATCCATTTTTTGAACAACTAATACGCCATTATTCGATTTTGACATACCAAGATTGTCAAATGGCTACTGAACTCTCGAAGAGTGCGTTTTCGAACACAAATGATTCAGAATATTTTATACTCCAACCAATACCCGACGAAAATTCACCTGAAGAATTTGCATCTGCAGTCGATTTGCTTGTACTTCGATGGCCGGCGGAGAAATCTCACCCATGGGAAAGTGGTGAAGAGCAAGTGCTTGATATTAATGACTTGAATGCAGCAAATGAATCAGTCCAATAGCGAATTTTAAACATTCCTACTTCTGTGAGATCCATGCTCATGTTAAAAAAAAAACAAGCAAAAAAATCAGCACATACATGATTTTCATCAATTTGGTTCCTAAGCGTTAATCAGCTACAATTAATTTTGATAAGAATCTAACAGAAAACTTTTTGTAAATCATAACAATAAGAACCAGTAGAGAAGACTTTAAAAAAGCATTCGATGGGTGCGACGAGCATCCAAATATTTGTAATTTACATATATTTTTTGTTCATTCTGCTCTGATTCTCAGCTTAAATTCCTCGATACTCATGGAAATTTCGAGTGCTAGAGTAAAGAAACATATTGGAAACAAATTATCGAGTGCTCCAGTAGAAGTAAGCCTACCAAAATAATAGTTTCAAGTGATGAGGTTAGTTTTGAAGTCATGAAATGTCTTCAAAAAGCGATTCACAAATGTCTATTTTATTCGGCTACCTCAGTAGGATGATTTATGTTCGACACATAATTGTCTTAATTTCATGATTTTCTAAAAAAATATTTAACAGTAACTAATGAAAAATAACTAGAGAGGAATTCATAAACATTTTTGACGAAAAGCACAGCCATAACGAATTTTTTTCTTAAGTGACATTTGAGACTCTAAAAAAATCTTTTCCTGTAGCTGGACACATACAAAAGATGTTTTATTCGATTAAAAAGTTTCTTTTTAGTTTTCGAAAACTGTTAGCTTATATTTAATTTCGATGTTGGACGAATTTTAATCGTATGTACCTATGTTCGAATGTTTATTTCGATCAAATTCATTTCGACCAGTCGAAAACTCAGCTTTTTAACTAACCTATCGAAAAGTGAGAACCTAAGGAATCTGTTTGAAAATTCATTGTCTTCGGTAATCTTAAGTTGACGTATCAAACTGCTTATCGGATGGTCAGTTGGGTTATGATTTCAGGATGTAGCTTAGGCTTTTCTCCGTAGAAAAAACTCAACTTCGATCAGTCAATGTTTACTTAATAATAGACCACAAGTTTTTGATCACTTGTCTAAATGAGCTTCAAGTCAATAGAGTATAATGTGTGGATTATGCGAAAAAAGATCAAGTTCTTCTAATATACACTCAAACAATCCATGCTGTTTAGATAAATTCACTTAAAACCTTTTGCTTTCTGTCGTGCTTGAACAATGAAATCGGTTGGAAAAACGTTTAAAAATACAGATCGATGATTGTTTACTACATTCGTTTTGAAGTTCGTTATAATCAACAGTGACTTAAGGGAGAAAATTTAGCACTTTTTGCAGACCCGCCTTACAGATCATTCAGACATGTCAACGTGATTTTCTTGGATTTTTTTGTTTTTGGCTTTATGAGATTTCAATAGAAGTCGGGATTTTAAATTTATACTCTTCGATTGAATCATGAAATTGTTGACGTTCGCATACAAGCGCAAGGCATTATGGATGGATGGATAAGAACAGATCACATTTAAGTTGATCGAGGGTACAGCATTTATCGTGCCTACTTGTTAAGTACATCGATTGCAATTGATTCAATCAACTTTGGCTATTGGAAGTAGCTAGTTGGTGGATGTCGGTGTGTGGGTGTGTGGATATGGATGTAGATGACC